TTAATTTTAAGCAATTAAAAACACCCACCAACCGAATAACAGCATAAAAGCAGTCTTGATGGTTGGAAAATGATAATCTGACTCGTGCCATATTCTTGTATCATGCATTCACAATAAAAATGGTTTTGAAAAAAATAAAATAAAAAAACACCAACCAACTTTTTAGTCTCATGAGTACAGCAATACAAAAAAGTGTGCAGCGCATGCAATAAATTCACAAATATATATATCAGTGGTGCTTCCACCTTAGGTGAATGTGTAAGTCAAATAGAAGTAAGGATAAATACCCCAATGTAACAGATGTCAGTAGGTATTAACCCTGTAGATAAAAAACAGGAAAATCATAGCATAATACTGCAATGGTGAGTAGATCTAATATAGTAGTCTATATAGTCCAACTCACATATGATGGAGCCTGTTAACAAAAGAACTGTCTCAGGTAGTGTCACTTAGAAAAACGTTCTCAGATGAATTCCAAAAGGATGGAGCTTAATCCTCAATATATTGGAGGAACAGGATAGGCAAACACCAATTAGAAGTATAACAACAATTTCCTTTATTAAAAAAATATATAATCTTACATTCAGAATTCTGTGATGCCATAAAAGAGCACAACGCGTTTTGACGATATTATTCATCTTCCTCAGGTGCAATAATAAAAACAAACTCCATACACATTTAAAAAAGAATTATGGCTCGGAAAATGGGTACTTGGAACCCACCCCCTTTGCCCATAAACCAGTCAAATCTGTCCATTTCATCATCCAATCCAGACTTTAATAATGCCATAATCATATCCAACTACTTCCGTGATCGTGCGTTCCACCACTGGTACTTCTGGGTTTGCGTGCGTTCCACCACTCTTACTTTTTCTTCCGTATGCTTCTCGCCTCAAAATTCAATATGACCTGTGTTCATTACGGACTGCTTATAGCAGTTTTCAAAATCCCCTATTATTCATATAGTAGTCCTTACATATAAGTAATCAGGATGGCTCAGAGAAAAAAGGGAAACACATGAAAATGTAATCAGTAAAAACAACAACAAATAAAATAATTTTTCAGGATAAAAGTAATAATAAAATCTTCTAATAATACATGAAAAGGATATAAAAGCTATCATATATAATTATACATCTCAAAATCAATATTTAAGCCGTTAGGAGAGAGGGTTTCCAATTCAAAAATCCATTTCATCTCGGTTTTATTTAAGATTCTTAAATGGTCACCCCCTCTCCACAGCTTTTGTATCCTCTGTTTCCCCATAAAATGCAAATTTTTTGTTTCACCATTGTGAATTTGGTTAATATGTGCTGATACAGAGTGATTGAGAACTCCCTTCTGTACATTCCTAAGATGTTCACAAATTCTAACTGTGACGAGAGCAATCTCGCCACATTGCATTGGAGAAGCCTGGTTGCTCGCCTGTTGCCTTTGGATAATGGACCGGCAGCTAAAGGGTCAATTTTACTGTGCAGAAGTATTTATTCACAATTGAATAGCCACGAAGTAACCGCTGAGCTACAGCCAACCCCTGGTTCTAATTCGTACGGATTTAACGAATGCATGTAAATTCGGTATTTTATGTTGGAGGAATGTTTTAACCCAGATAGCTATGCCATGGAACCTGTTCGTGGAATTAAAGACTTTGGCTCCATGGCAATAAAACTGTATTCGTGCGGTCTGAGTGCCATTCACCTAATAATGTGCACTCAGACCTGAGCTATCTGGGGATATGTTACATTATATATTTACTGTACCATTTGTCCCATTATGTATTTTAAAGTGATAGTCTGTCTTTGTGTCCCCACATGTGTAATGGAGTTTTGCCTTTGTCCTGAGAGATAATTGAATTACTTCTCCAGGGCAGAGGGGAGGAAGCCAGGATGCATTGTGGGGATGTTTTACTTCTGTATGTCTGTAATTGGTACATGTCTGTCTTTTGTTACAGTCTTCCATCTGGTCCCCTAGGGGAGTGTCCACCAGGTGGGAGACCTGCATAAATACTGGGCAGGTAGCCCTCATTAAACAGACCACTGCTTGACCCTCAACACGGAGCCTTGTCTCGTTCTTGGGGGGATTCACTGTATGCTGTTAGAGACTGATTGCCAGGAGTGTAAGCTGATTGTCTGCTTTTCCTGTTCGTCTGCTAGCAGCTATTTGGGAGGTTCCAGTTCGGGAGTTGGAGTGCTATTTTGTATCCAGTTCAGGAGTTTGGTGTTCTGCAGTAGCTGTGCCTGTATCTCTGGAAAGGGGGCCGATCGCCTAAACGGTTTTTACCCCTTGTGTGCAAAACGGTCCGTTACAATTGGTGGCAAGCGACGGGATCGTTCCTACAGCCAGAAGGACAGCTACAGGAGACACCATTCCATGGATTTTACAATTTGAGGGCAACGCATGTCTGAGTACAGCGACCCTGACAGCACCAGGATGGAACCAGCAGTGGCGTACAGCTACTCAAGGAGAGAGTTTGACAATATGATGCAACTGCGGCTGAAGTTCTTCGGACCCAATCCAGCTGAGAAATACGTGAAGTTCGTGAGGAACCTAGTGTGCAAGAATCTCCAATACCGGGCAGAAAGGGCAGGTCAGCTGGCACGTTGGGAGGAACTCCAGCGACAGGTACTGCAGGGAATTGGGAGCCCAGTCTCCATTCCCCAGCGGCAGAGTGAATTGCAGGGAATTGGGAGCCCAGTCTCCATTCCCCAGCGGGAGATATTGCAGGGAATTGGGAGCCTGAGCTCCATTCCCCAGCGGCAGTGTGATATGCCGGGAATTGGGAGCCCAGTCTCCATTCCCCAGCGGGAGATATTGCAGGGAATTTGGAGCCCAGTCTCCATTCCCCAGCGGCAGAGTGAATTGCAGGGAATTGGGAGCCCAGTCTCCATTCCCCAGCGGGAGATATTGCAGGGAATTGGGAGCCCAAGCTCCATTCCCCAGCGGGAGATATTGCAGGGAATTGGGAGCCTGAGCTCCATTCCCCAGCGGGAGATATTGCAGGGAATTGGGAGCCCAGTCTCCATTCCCCAGCGGCAGTATGATTTCTTGGGAATTGGGAGCCCAGTCTCCATTCCCCAGCGGCAGAGTGTCCTATTGGGAATAGAGAGCCCAGTCTCCTTTCCCCAGCAACAGGACTCTGTATTGGGAGCAGGGACAGTCGGTCTCCCTCCCCCGCGGCTGGAAGTATATATGGGAGAGGAGCTTGTTACCACCTCTCCCCAGCGGCAGCTTAATGTACCAGGGGGAGACAGTAAGCCCCACAACTGTGCAGATAGGACTGTGGTCTCTGCACGTCCAGCACAGGGGGTAGGGACGGTCGGTTCTGCCCCCCAGCAACAGGGCTGTTTAGCCAAAGGGGAGACAGTCGGTCTCCAGCAGCAGAGCTGTGTGTCTAAAGGGGAGACAGTCGGTCTCCAGCAGCAGGACTGTGTATCTAAAAGGGAGACAGTCGGTCTCCAGCAGCAGAGCTGTGTGTCCAAAGGGGAGACAGTCGGTCTCCAGCAGGAGGGCTGTGTATCTAAAGGGGAGACAGTCGGTCTCCCCCTCCAACAACCAGGCTTCAACCAGGCTACCCTCCCAGTAGCGCTGGCAACAGGGCAGAGTACCGCTGGTCTCTGCCCACTCAGCAACCCACCAAGTCAGCATACCCGTACCCAGCACAGCCGTGGTGAGACACCTGGACATGGACAAGCTTCTCCCCTACCCAGGTGTAGTAACCATTTATTGTGGGTGGGCTGTACTGTTTTTTCTGTTTTGTGGGTGGGCTGCTGGACTAACAAGGGCACTGACCGGCAGGAGGTCAGATACCCTGTTAGTCTGTTTGGAAAAGGGGAGAGATGTGACGAGAGCAATCTCGCCACATTGCATTGGAGAAGCCTGGTTGCTCGCCTGTTGCCTTTGGATTATGGACCGGCAGCTAAAGGGTCAATTTTACTGTGCAGAAGGATTTATTCACAATTGAATAGCCACGAAGTAACCGCTGAGCTACAGCCAACCCCTGGTTCTAATTTGTACGGATTTAACGAATGCATGTAAATTCGGTATTTTATGTTGGAGGAATGTTTTAACCCAGATAGCTATGCCATGGAGCCTGTTCGTGGAATTAAAGACTTTGGCTCCATGGCAATAAAACTGTATTCGTGCGGTCTGAGTGCCATTCACCTAATAATGTGCACTCAGACCTGAGCTATCTGGGGATATGTTACATTATATATTTACTGTACCATTTGTCCCATTATGTATTTTAAAGTGATAGTCTGTCTTTGTGTCCCCACATGTGTAATGGAGTTTTGCCTTTGTCCTGAGAGATAATTGAATTACTTCTCCAGGGCAGAGGGGAGGAAGCCAGGATGCATTGTGAGGATGTTTTACTTCTGTATGTCTGTAATTGGTACATGTCTGTCTTTTGTTACAGTCTTCCATCTGGTCCCCTAGGGGAGTGTCCACCAGGTGGGAGACCTGCATAAATACTGGACAGGTAGCCCTCATTAAACAGACCACTGCTTGACCCTCAACACAGAGCCATGTCTCGTTCTTGGGGGGATTCACTGTATGCTGTTAGAGACTGATTGCCAGGAGTGTAAGCTGATTGTCTGCTTTTCCTGTTCATCTGCTAGCAGCTATTTGGGAGGTTCCAGTTCGGGAGTTGGAGTGCTATTTTGTATCCAGTTCAGGAGTTTGGTGTTCTGCAGTAGCTGTGCCTGTATCTCTGGAAAGGGGGCCGATCGCCTAAACGGTTTTTACCCCTTGTGTGCAAAACGGTCCGTTACACTAACCTTTAAGGGTATAATGGTACGTCCCACATATTGCAATCCGCAAATACATGTCAATAGGTAAATAACGTTGTTCGAATTACACGTAATAAATTCCTTGACAGCATATTCCTTTTTAGTTTTATTAGAATAAAAAAAATATTTTTTTCAGTTTTCATATTTACAATTTTACTAGTATTACACGCTTTACAGTTGCCACAGTTATAAAACCCTTTTAAATCATTGTCCTGTACGTCTCTATTTTTTGGGGAGTTTTTAGAGATAAAACTGCTGGTTAAAACATTTTTAAGATTACTGGCACCTCTATATACTACTCGTGGTTTTTCTCCTACAAATGTAAGGAGATCTTCATTTTGTCTAAGGATATGCCAGTGTTTTTTAAGAATTTTATGAAACAAGTAACTTTGAGAATTATAATCGCATATAAAAGAAACTTGTTTCTTTTTTTTTTTTTTTATTCTTTATTTTTGCGCCTGATAGGCAATGCGAGAACATATCAACATGAAGGCTTGCGTAGAAGCCGCATTATATTAAAGCATATTCATAGACATCACTGTTAACTTTGGCCTCCGTGGCCCGCCTCTTTACATTTTCTATATAATTTGCCTCCCATCGGGGATTTTATGTTTTTATTGGCTGTTACACTTAACTTCCCAGTTTTCATACGGTATTCATAGTGTAAGCAGTGCGCCTGTGAGGCCCGTATAGGGGCCTGTACGTTAGTATTCTACCTTGGAGAATTGGAGTGGGTTCTGGTCCCGAAGACAGGCCTCTCAATGGGTGCTATTCTACTGACCTCTTGTTATTGGTAATGTATCATTAAGTCCGATCCTGCCTCCTGAGGGTGAGCTCTAACTCTAGCCGTGTCTGGGTGTACTTTAGACATCTTCCATCCTCCGTCAGCGCGCTCATGTCTAAATGAGGGAAGTTAGTTATGTCTCCTTGGAGTGGGACAATGTCAGCCATATAGAAGTTAAGAATTAGGAGGAAAAAAAAGAAATAGAGGGTATCCTTGTAGGCCAAGGTTTCTGTACCAAGAAGTAGAGAACGTGGGAAAGACAGATTTAGAGAGAGAGGAGGAGATGAGATGAGCAAGAGGGGTAGAGAAGAGGAAGGAAGATATGAGTGTGTGGGGTGGGGGGGAAGGAGGGGACGGGGGAGGAGGGGGGGGCGGACGAGGTTGGGGCACTTCACTCCTGCTCTGACCCAGCAGTGTCTGGTCCCGAATCGGGCTGTCCACTTGAAACTTGTGTTTCTTGTACAATATTATCCTTTCTTTTGTATACTAAAAGATCCTCTCTAGGTTTTGTACATATTTCTTTAAATTGAGTTTCTACATATTCCTTTTTATATCCTTTTTGATAAAATAGTTTTTTTAAGAATATCAAATTGTTCTAAAAAGGTATTTTCATCTGTGCAATTCCTTTTTAACCGCATGAACTGTCCTTTTGGAATACTGGAAAGCCATGCTTTAAAATGACAACTGTCACTGTTGATATAACTATTAACATCGACAGTTTTGAAAAAAGTGCTAGTCTTGATTGTCCCATTTTCTACAAATATTCTTAAATCCCGAAAATGTACTTCCTGACAACTAATCTCTGAGGAAAGTTTAATACCCCAGGAATTAGTGTTTAAAAAAGTCAAAAAGTCGTTCAATTAAGCTCTATTCCCTTTCCAAATAAAGAATATATCGTCAATGTACCGCCTATAGAGGACCAAGTTTGCCTCCCAGTCATGCTGAGCATATATAAAAGACTCTTCCCAATATGCCATAAACAAGTTAGCATAACTGGGGGGTGAACTTAGTCCCCATGGCGGTACTCCTTCTCTGGATATAGAACTCATTCTCGAACCAGATAACGTTATTCTGTAAGATGATCTTGATACCCTCAATAATAAACTTAATCTGTTCATCTTTGAAATAATTTGATGCCCTTAAAAAATGCTCTACCGCCTCACATCCTATATGGTGCTCGATAACCGTATATAGGCTACTTACATCACTTGTTACGAGGATATATTCTTCCAACCAAGCGAAATTATGTAACGTTTGGAGAATGTTAATAGAATCTTTTAAGTGGGCTCTAGTTTTCAGGACAAGGGGTTGCAGAAGAGTGTCAATGTATTGTGACAAGGGTGATAGCAGAGAATCCACCCCGGCCACAATAGGTCTGCCAGGAACGTAAATAACAGGAATGATGGTATGCTCTTTATTTAGAAATCTATACTCATCTTTATTCAACATACCTAATTCCGAACCCTGATCTAAGAACCTAACTAGTTCTTTTTTAATATTTGGTTCAGGATTAGCCTTTAGTTTACCATATGGTTTTTCATCCTTTAATTGCTTAAAAATTTCATCGATATAGAATCCCTTATTCATAATGACAACTCCCCCCCCTTTGTCTGACGGTTTGATGATAATACTATCATCTTTGGCCAGATCTTCAACGGCTTTTTTCTCTTCCCATGTTAGATTCTGTTGAAATTTTGAAAGTGGTTTAATCTCTTTGAGATCAATCATACATGCCTTCTCTAAGGCTTTCATACTTGGACTCTAGCGCCTCAAACTGTACCTTCTTTTTGGTTTGGTTTTAGTCTCATGAGTGTATTGTCTCCTATATATATATTTGTATCTGTCAACGGATACGCACTCAGATTGATAATACGCATTTTTTGCAATGAAAATGTTTATTCTTATGAAATGAAAGCATACATTAGACATACATATATCCCAGGTATCACCAACCTTAAATGTACTTAGAATACAAATGTCATGTTTTGAAGTAACAAAGCAAGCACAACAGTGTTGTGGTTATGGTGCCAGGAGTGCATTGGCATGGCCCCAATATAAATAGTCAAACCATTTTAGAAGAGTTTGACTTTTTACCAGGGGTGTGTTGTACGCTGTTCCTACTTTGACTGCAGTTTATGAAAATTACTTATTGCAAAACCTTAATCCACATTGTAATCATTTCTCCTCTCAATGTCTTCCTCCTGCTAGTCTGAGCACATTCAGGCCTGCACAATGCAAAGGAGAAAGGAGAAGAGAGAAAAAAAAGTGAGGTGAGACCTGCTCACTGACCTTTATATTCAGACTTCCGCTCTCGCCCCTTGAACAAATTTGCATGGACGGCGACTGTATTTCCAACTTTATCACTTATTGTCGAGAGATGACCATTTTCCTTTACAGAGGTTTCTGGGTCAGTAGGAGAGTGGATGGACAGGGTGTTCACTGAGAAGCAGGGGGGAAAAATTATGCTTAATTAAAACACGCTGTAGTTGTCACGATTCGGGGAACCCAACACGCTGGCACACACACACACACACACAAAAGGTGCCGTACCGGACCTTAGAGTGGCCGGGCTAAGCACACACAGAATAGTCAGGAAACAAGCCGAGTAAGGGAAACCAGAAGACAGAATAACGTGAAACGAGCCGAGGTCAAGGGGTAGGAGAAAGTCACAGAGTCAGATAAACAAGCCAGAGAGTACGTAACCAGAAGTACAAAGTAAGTAGCAATACTAGAAAGCAAAGACCACAACAGGCCAGGGAGGAACAGGAAAGGTAAGTATTTAAACCATAAGGTTAATTCTGATTGGATAATTTCCCATTAGAATTAACAATCACACGTGGGAGATATCTAGACCTCCCACTGTGATTGAGGCACTGTGCCTTTAACGCCGGGTCAGGTGACTGACCCCGGCGTGTACAAACTTGGGCGGTCTCCCGGCGTGCAGCGTCATGTATGCTGCCGCTGGGGGACGTGGAGGAAACGGCGGGCGGCATCCGAGGCTGGAAGGATGCCGCTCGCCGGACCCAGGAGGAGGAGGGGACCGCGGACGGCTGGAGGGTGAGTACCGCGAGCGGAGTGCAGCCTCCCCTCGCAGCCGCCCGCGGGATCCGGACAGTAGTCTGACCATTATTTCAGGAAATTAATTTAAAAAACTCCAACGTGCTGACATAAAACCCAACAGTATTTTATTTATTTATTTGTAAATATCTTTTTTATTAGTTTTGCAAAGGTATCAAGTGAAAATGATACACTAGACAGTGAGACTTGCAGGTCTCGCAAGTAACTTAGACAGTAACAGTCAACTCTCAGGTCTGTAAAAGTAGAAGAGAACAGGAGACTCGCAGGTCTCGAATCATGAGTAAAGTAACTCTAGTAGCAGTTATAATTAGGTGTAGCATAAACTCTAACTTAGTCATGGTGTCACTAAACAATAACAGTAATTTTCCAGTGCCATCTTACCTGGTATTTTTATGAAATTATGGGGGTGTCATAAAAGGTTAGTCCCTGAGCCCAGATGCCAACGCAGGGCGAAGGAAGAAAGGGGGTGGGAGAGAAGAAGATATGTATAGCTTAGGGTGGGGGGAGAATAAGAGAGAGGGAAGAAAGATAGAGAGAGAGAGAAAAAAGGAAAAGGGTGGAAGTGGGGGAAATCTGTGCCCATGAACATATAGATTGTCAGTTAGCGTGCCATCTTTCTGTCGTTCAGCTAAGAAGTTTATTTTATTTTTTTCATTATCTGCACTTTGTACCCTGAATAATGTTCCTTTTTACAAATCTCCCTATTCGCATGTAAGGTAATAGATAACACATGTATAATTGATAATAGATTTACTAGATAATCACACTAAATAAATGCACCACTGGTGCAATATTTGTTAAGAAGATTTAAGGACTTAAGTACCAATTAACTTGTGACCTGCAAATGAACCTTTCTCAGTAAAAGAATTAACTTAACCTTTATTCATGCAATATGAAAGAGGACAGTCAAGAGAGGCACAAAACCTCGCACAACAACAACACTTATAAGACGATCGTTATCGTTGACAAAGTGAAGGTGTTTTGTTTTGTGTTGGTATAGTGAAATTATTCACTCGATGAGGACGCAAGATATTTTAATATTATTTAGGTTTTTATAACTAACTATAAATCTGCAAAATAAGTACTTTTTTTATTTTACTAACAACATAATTAGAGACATCAGCAGATTAACACGCTTGTTGTGCTAGCTACCTGAAGTTAGGAACCTATTTGTATCAGCTCAAGGGGACGTAGCTGCCATGGCAACTGTGTATTTGTGCAATGGCGTTGTTAGCCTATATATACACACACCTATATATCAATTAGTCTCTGGATATTTGAAGAGCACAGTGTAGCTAAAATAAACAAAGCGTTTGCCTTTAGACGTTAATATTTTTATATTACAGTCAATACAAAACAATACATGTAAATTAATTACAAAATAAATGTAGCCCATGGATCAGCGCAGCTAAGTGGAATAGGCCTTGACAGAGCCAGGAGGTAGGCATAGCAGCCACAGGAATTTAGTGACAGCTAGCATGCTGGGTAGGGTGGAGCCATAAGGGGAGTATTTACACCAGCCATTATGTGAAGTGGCCATTTTAACTGAACCTAA